CTAAGGTTCTTGAAGATTTCGTGGTCGGGTGGATGATAACCGATATTAAAGACAAGATCGACCCCAAGCAGTTTGGATGCTTGAAAGGAACATCCACAACTTATTGTCTTTTAGACATGATCCACACTTGGTTGTGCAACTTAGAGTGCCCTGAAAAACATCTTAGACTTTGTTTCCTTGACTTCGAAAAGACGTTTGACCGTATAGGACATAATTTACTAATATTAAAGCTGTTGGACCTGGGTGTTAGATCATCCTTGTTACCTTGGATTATCAGCTTCCTAACTAACCGCCGACATCGGGTCAAACTTGGAAGGGAAACGTCAGACTGGTTGCCAATGAATGCGGGTGTCCCCCAGGGAACTAAACTCGGTCCAATTTTGTTTTTGGCGATGATAAATGACCTCGATGTGCGAACACACGCAACGGATATTTGGAAATTTGTGGATGACATATCAACATCTGAAAATATCACAAAAGGCAGCAACCTTATGAAAATATGGTTGGGCTTCGTGCAACCTTATGAAACTTAACTCCAAAAAGTGCAAAGAACTACGCGTTTGCTTTCTGAGGGAATCACCTGATTTATCACCATTGTTGGTCGATGGTCATGCGCTTGAGGTTGTGCGGTCTCATAAAGTGCTAGGTCTGGTTATTCAAAATGATCTAAAATGGAATGCACACATAGAGTCAGTTGTATCCATTGAACTATAAATAAACCGCGTTTGCTTTCTGAGGGAATCACCTGATTTATCACCATTGTTGGTCGATGGTCATGCGCTTGAGGTTGTGCGGTCTCATAAAGTGCTAGGTCTGGTTATTCAAAATGATCTAAAATGGAATGCACACATAGAGTCAGTTGTATCCATTGAACTATAAATAAACCGCGTTTGCTTTCTGAGGGAATCACCTGATTTATCACCATTGTTGGTCGATGGTCATGCGCTTGAGGTTGTGCGGTCTCATAAAGTGCTAGGTCTGGTTATTCAAAATGATCTAAAATGGAATGCACACATAGAGTCAGTTGTATCCATTGAACTATAAATAAACCGCGTTTGCTTTCTGAGGGAATCACCTGATTTATCACCATTGTTGGTCGATGGTCATGCGCTTGAGGTTGTGCGGTCTCATAAAGTGCTAGGTCTGGTTATTCAAAATGATCTAAAATGGAATGCACACATAGAGTCAGTTGTATCCATTGAACTATAAATAAACCGCGTTTGCTTTCTGAGGGAATCACCTGATTTATCACCATTGTTGGTCGATGGTCATGCGCTTGAGGTTGTGCGGTCTCATAAAGTGCTAGGTCTGGTTATTCAAAATGATCTAAAATGGAATGCACACATAGAGTCAGTTGTATCCATTGAACTATAAATAAACTGGAAGGCTAACTCAGGGGGGGAAATTGAAGCCAGTGCATTTTGGTTTTTCTGAGTTATCAGCAGAAATACTCAACACTGAACGTTGGGCTATATATCAAATTGAAGCTATTGAAAAACGCTATTTGGTGTAGAAATTTCAAGACTTTAGCTAAAAGGGAAATATTGAAAAACTACAAACATAATTACCGATAATTTGCCGTTTTGCAGTTGTTTTTGTATTTTTTAAATATTTCTCTTTTCGCTGAAGTCTTGAAATTTCCACACCGAATAGCAATTTTTAATAGCTTCAATTTGATATAAAGCACGACGTTTGGGGTCAAGTATTTCTGCTCATAACTCAGAAAAACTATTTTGGCTTCATCAAATCATAGGCCTTCATCATAGCAGTTAGCCTTCCAGTTTATTTATAGTTCAATGGTTGTATCCAAGGCTTCTAAACCGCATATTACGACGAGGTGGTGTCCCTGTGGAGGACTTATTGAGTATATACTTTGCCTTAATATGATCGGTTCTGGAGTACTGCTGTGTGGTATGGCATCATGCCGTACCTTTGTAGCTCGCCGATGAGTTAGAGCGAGTGCAAAAACGAGCGCTGAGGATTATTTTACCGGGTTACTCTTACAGGGAAGCATTAGCACAACTTGGGTGTTCCAGATTGGATGAAAGGCGAGAACAACATTGCCTCAACACTATGAAACGCATAGATATTGAAGGACCACTGTCAAAATATGTTCCATTGTCTAGGGCTAGTTCAAATGATTATGAACTTAGAAACTCTAACACATTAACAACAATAAAATGCCGAACAGAAGGATATCGCCGTAGCTTTTTTCCTAGTACAGTAGCTTTATATAATAGTTATAGTAAAGAAATTTAAGCGTGATACTTAAATACGTTGATTTTAATAGCAATTCAATAAGATTTTTAGACTTGATGCATGTAATTTATCTTTTTATATATGTAAATATATATAGCGTACTAATTTTGTAAACGCACCATAATTCAATCTGTTGCGAAGGTGTGTATCTTAAACCATTAATAATAATAATAATAATAATAATAATAATAATAATAATAATAATAATAATAATAATAATAATAATAATAATAATAATAATAATAATAATAATTTGGATCGTTCTGTTTCCAAGTTCTCTTCTTTCTTCAGCCTTTCTTTAGTTGTTTATTGTTCGTATTCGTTGCTTCGTCTTGTTTCGTTGTGAGCTTTCTACAACTTTTCATACCTGATTTTTACTTCGTTCAGTCCAGTGACGAATTTGGTTTGTGCACGCCCTTTTATACTAACGGTTTAAGGGATCTTTGTACGCGTGATCTAGCAAGTGATGTGATTGGTATCCAGCCAATCAACTTTGAGTTATAAAAGTGTGGGTTGGCGTTGCTAGCTCGTTCCAGCTCTCACATTCTGTTTATTTAAGGCGTTGTCGCACTGGTCGAGTCGGTTCGCTGTTCAATCGATAAATGCTAAAATATGTTCACAATTTAAGATACTTATCAAAATATTTATAAGTAATAGCATGGCATTCTGGGCGATTAGTGATTAAATGTACCCGAAAGCCGAGAGAGGTTTACTAAACCTCTCGAGGCTTGAGGTACATTTCATCACTAATCGACCGTAATGCCATGCTATTACTTTGTAATATCATAGTTAACGAGGGAATCGCGCGTGGTGTGTTGCCTGTTTTGAATGCTGTTTGATTGTCTTATGATTGTGGTACGAACACTTTTCATATATACGCACGCGCACAAACACATCTCCGCGTTCATTGGCGTTTTAGGCATGCGCATAAACGCAATTTTCTCCCACAATTGAAATGTTCAAGATTAGGGAATAAAAGCTGGCAAAGTGATTGTTCGAATGCGTACGGGACGGTGTCGTCAGATACTGTCCATAGTTGTGCCGATGATTTTCGATGAGGTACAGCTCTCCAATCAGAGGTAATGAGGTACACTTTTGTCTTCTAAATTTCCCTCATCAAGCATGCAGGGGAAAACTAGAAGACAAAGAAATCCTTTGCTTTCAACTAAATTTCTCTCATCAAGCATGCAGGGGAAAATTAGAAGACAAAGAAATCCTTTGTTTTCAACTAAATTTCCCGGGGAAATTTAGAAGACAAAAGCGTATGCATGGGTAATGAGGGAAATACGTGATTAAACGTCCCTGTTGAAACAAAAGAAACCGAGTTAACTATGATATTACATAGTAAAATCTTCAAACTATACCTATTTGAACCTTACTTTACCTACTAAACTAAATTCACTTACAATTTTATTGAACCAAGATTTTGATGACGTAATGTTATCATTACTCGACCGCGCGAAATATACCGTAGAATGATTGACATCCCACCATGCAAGGCTATCGTCCAACTTTCACAGTTTGACAAATCATTTATCTTGCCATTAGGACAGATAATTGACACTTTTACACAGGTACGAAATCATATCTACTTTATCTGCGTTTTACAGCAAAAATGCTCATTATCTCTCCATTTGACGTAACTAATATCTAAAATTACCTGGGGTGCAAACTGAACTATTTTTATACTATTTAGATACTTCCGTAACACATGTGTCAAATGCAGTCGTCGTTTTCCTTGACAAGTTTCTCTTGACAGGTTTTGTTGCTCGTGTGCACGGAATGTTGTAGGGCGTTTATCTCACGTCAAGGCCGCCTTTTGTTCGCCAAAACAACAGAAGTATTTCTTGTACACTTTTTATGTTTTCAATTTAGTTTTCCTTGGCGGCCATCACACGAACAAACTTTCCTTTTCCAAAAGCAGGCATGACTAGTTTTGGAACAAGGGTGCTTGACATGGAAAATTTGTCAAAGAAAATAAAAAAAATTGCCTGTCTGTACAGGGCGTAAGAATAAACAATAGGCAGCTGCGGTGTGAAGGATACTGTTGCAACAACTTGTCCAAGCATTCCCATGCAAGCATAAGAAACAACGATTGCCAGAAACTTGGTTTTGGTGCACCATGATACTCTATTGATCACTTATGAGTATTTGAATGGGTCAGTCGGCCAGCATCCTCCGTTCCCAGGGCCTCACGACCGCTCGCGACCTTTCGTAGGCCCTGGGACACACAGAACCGGAAGTGCAAGAAAACTTGCAGTAGTTTCTAAAGCGCATGCTCTTGAATTGGGAGAGGGACCAGAGGGACGCTTCAGCACCACTGAGCTGTATAATACCTGGAGGACCTGCTCCTATACTTCGTTCAGTCAACGAAGTGAAGCCAAAAACATGGCGTATTTTGAGGCAAAATGACGCCATTTCCATGACAACACTTACTTTATTTTCATGGTAGTTACCACTGACCAGGCTCAATTCTAAGCAAGCCTTGGTTTTTGTAAAACAGTTTTGCAGATATAGTTCTTGTTGCAGATAATATAGTTCTAGAGATAAATTTTCTACCTTTAACCATTTGGTCAAAGATTTGCAAGTCGTAGGTGTTTACTTTTGCCCGCGAAAGACGACAAACAAATTTTAAAACAACAAGAATCGAAATGTGGGAAAAGATGATACTTGAATATGGATTTACAAAGGGTAAGAGACGAATTTTCATATTCAATTTTATGTAGACTTTACTCTCATTTGACATGAAATTGATGAGCATAATGATAAAACTGACACTCTGTTTGTTAATAGAACAGCTTCCTACAGTGCAATACACATGGTAAAGTGTAAAACGTCCCATTATTTTAGCAAGCTGCGATATTCAGTCACATATACGAGTAATACGACGGTCTTTAGGTTGACTCCTGACGTCTTGTTTTATAAACAGACATAAACTATGATCATGTGGCACAGACTATCTAAAGGAGGGAATTAGGTTTTGTGTTATGTACCACTTTAATATGTATAAGCTGGGGGGTGCTGGAAGCTGATCCGGGAAGATATTTTTACTAGCTTTCTGGTTGGGGATAGTTCTTGATTTCTGTGTCATTATAGAGACTTGAGATAATCACACTTTTTCCTGCTAAGGGGTGGACCATTAGAAATTGGGGGAGGTGGCAATTTCAGAAAAAAAATTGTGCAAGGCCAGTTCATTAAAAAAAATCATGCAGAAACTCAAGGTAAGAAAAAAATATCGTACGTGCATAACCGGTATAATTAGGTTTAATACATTGCAATTTTAATAAAAAAAGATTGGTGGAGCCAAACTCATCTCATATATTCACTAGCAGTGTTCGTGTATGTAGCTTCAATAGCAAGTTTTCTATTTTCCAAATGAAAAATATTTCATTTATATAAACCTAATTATGGACAAGTTTTATTTCTAGAATTCTATGATCTCTGTACCAGATATTAATAAATATTTATAAATGTATGCATGTAAATATTTCAAGACTCATTCAAGGGGATTTATACTTCTATTAAATTGCATGTGATAAAACAAAACTATTAAATTAACATTAATTTTTCAAAAACTCATTAATAATTCATGAGGAAAATACAAAAGAAATAAATGTTTAATCAATGTTTGTAAATGTTTGTAAATTTGATTGAGATTTGTCCTGATTTACATAAACTGATTTGTTATGATTTTCTCTGCTTAATATAGACAATGTTTATTTTCAAAATTACTACGCCAATGAACTCATAAGATGGGCAGTTTTTAAGCACGTTAAAACATTCGCATCCGATCTTTATCTGATATACAAACTCTCGCCTTCGGCTCGAGTTTACATGTATATCAGATAAAGATCGGCTGCTCATGATTTAACTAGTACATAGTCATAGAATACATTTATAATGAGAAAAATACAAACATCACATGCAAATGATGCATAATGTAGATTATATAGTTTCCAAACTATAAATCACAACCCCAAAATAGCATGGTTCTTTTTGTATCTGCGAAGTAGATATATTGTTATCGCAAACGTACCGTACTGTTACCGTACCGTAGTACCGTACCGTATGTTAACAGATAGCCATTCAGCGATGGGCTTATATAATTTAAGGTAATTTAAGCCAATCAACTGCCAACGGGCGGCGTTTGGCCTCGTGTTATTCTTAGCCATTTTCACATTTTGGCTTCGTAAATATCTTGATTTTGTCTTGTTTGCGCAATTTTCCGAAGTTATCTATCGACATGGAAACTTATCCTCATCTGGTAAGTAGTCAAATACGACATATTTATTATTTTATTATGTATTTATACAGTAAAACAATCATTGTGTTGTGTAATATTTTAAACAGTCAAAACATAGCAGGCAATATATTTGTCAATGACAATGAACAATGTCACAAGAAACTAATGTTCTCATGAGGAGATATTGAATTAAATCCTGGTCCTGTATTTCTGTAGTAAACTCTGTTCGATGTTATCAGTTAAAATACTTATACATTTTGGTTTAACAGTGATTAGAGTTTTTAAACAAAATGTTTACAAACATTTTCAAATGCTAATTAAAGAATCCCCACTCTCCCACCTTATTATATTGTTATTTTGCTTTCTAACATAAATGTTTTTGTTTAGAGATTAATGCAAGAATGATGAATAAATGTACTGGATATTGGCTGGATAATTTTGTCAGAACAACCAACTTGCAAGACAATCTTACCTAAATTCATTGGTATGGATAATAACTTGACAGCTACAATAATTATATACTATATGGATGGATCAGATCAATGGCACACAATATGTACAAAACTAAACTTGTGATACCTTCTACTCAAACTGATATTGTCCCACAACACAAATTGTTTT